AAAAGAAAAACCACTCAACCAGAAAACGGAAAACCAAAAAGAACTCGGGGGGTGGCGAAATTGGCAGGTTCCTGGTGAGCCTCAACGCCCCGGAGCCCTTCCCCGCGTGGGTCCACGGCGCCGCCGCCTACGGCCGCGCGGAGCTGCTGCGGCCCTTGGTGGACTCCGCCTGGGACTGGGCCAAGTGGCGCCCCGGACGGAGAGGCGAAATTTTCGGGGACGCCAACTCAAGAAAGACAGAGAACCAATTGGGCTCCCAGAGTCGTTTTTTGAGGGTGCCCATTTGGGGTTGATTTCTTTGGAGGGCAAGCCGGTTCTTTTGGTGCTTGGTTACGTGGGGAACTGTGTTTCCAGTCTTGTCTTAAAATTGGGGGGGGGGGGGGCAGGGGCTTAAAAGTGGGGTCTTAGGGGTTCATGCTTCTTCTGAGAATCCTATGTTCATGTGTCATATTTGGGAGTGTTTTTCAGGGGACCCCCAAAATGAATTTGGGATGATTTAGGTGTTCATCTTGTTTTCCTTTTGCAGCAGCAAGAGGGGATCGGGTTCCCAAAAAAGACACACCCAAATGAGGGTCTTAGAGTCGCTTTTGAGGGGAACAAAAATGTATGACCCATTTTTGGGGTACCCCTTTCAGACAACCGAGAGGAACTGTCTAGCGTTCCTGGTTTCAACCAACCAGTTCCTGGTTTCAACCAAACGTAAAATCGGTGCGTTTCCTTTAGGTTTCCCACCCCGAAACAGGTACCAACAAAAACGAGAAGCCTCCAAACAGTGAATGCCGCAATTGTTTGGGCACCAGTTCCGGGTAAGTTCAACTCATGGCTGAGTTATTTGCAACATTTTGGGCCTCGGGGATCCCTTGTTTTGACAATCTATATGGGCACTGATCAAATGCAAACATGGGAACACATGAGGCTTCATTTAGGCACATGGAAAGCTCACATGGTCTGGGCTGGGGCTTTCATAGCTTTCATGTCGAGAGTCCCACGGGTTTACCGTATATTTGGGCTGGGTGAGGACCCGTGGGCCCTACAATGAAAGGCATGGAAGCGTGCGAAAGGGGTTGTCTCATGTTGAAAGCATCCCAGGTTGGGCAGGTAAAACAGAGCTCAGCTGCTTGCAAGTAGGGAAGCACAGCCAAAGCCCCCTGAGTGAACAGATGCAAAACACAGCAAGGCCTGCCTCATGGCCTTTTGGCAGCGACTGCTATAGTTCTTAGTGTATCCTGGTGGGTGTTTATTCGTTTTTAAACTTCAAAGCTCTGGAACTTGCTTGACCTTTTTGGCCGTGAATTGGCTTTGAGACTGATGGCCGCAAAATTGAGTCATCAAGCCCGTTTTTGGGGGTCGGCATTTGGGACCATCTGACTTTGCCATTGGCTATGCAAAAGGCGGAACAGTTTTGTTTTGCAAACCCGATCCAGTTTCTGGGGTGAAACCCAGGGTTCCCGAAGTCAAAATGAACTGGATCCGACGCGCCCAGAACCCTGTCTCGCTCAGGATGTGCCGTGAGGAACCGCCGGAGGTAAGACCTTAGCCATACCTTAGCCGTGTTCAGAAAGAACCCTGGCAATGGAAATCCACTTGAGCTCACTTGTGTTTTTTTGAGACTACAGGTACCCTGTTCACCTTGGCTTAAAGGGAAGCGCATTGGCCAGATAGATCACTCCTACAGCATCAGCTTGTCCATCGTGCTGTGGGAGCAACAAATGTTGTTGTTTGATACGGGCTGCGAATGCATGTAGCTGTTTGCGTTGTTGTTTGCTTTCCCCAACTAAACCTGGATGAACCTCAGGATGACTTCTATTAGGGTCACTGATTGCAGCTGCCGACCAGAAAGCCACAGCACTCCTTGCAAGTTGATCAAGGATCGCCAGGGATTTGAACGCGGCTCGCCAGCGCGTGCAGCCTCGTGTTGCCCTGGACCCTGAAAGCATTGTTTCACTGCATTTGGGCAAAGGAAATCGTGCCTTCAAACAAAAAAACTGTCATAAGGTTTGCTCCTCAGTGGTCCCTTGTGTCAGCGTGGTGAATCGTTGTGATTCTCCCAGATTTAAGACTGTTGGCTTGAGAGATGCGTTACAGAGGCCAATTCTTAGCACATAGTGCGGGTTGATTGGGGATCGGCTCCCCGAATCTGCGGGCCGACCGGACTGCCATATTTAATATTTGGAGATGTATAACATCACGCAAATGCAAAAGCTGACTCAGTTGAGCCAGAATCACAACTCGGTAGACGAAGAATATGAAGGGAGCAGTCCCAGCCAAAAATAGAGGCATGACTGAGTAAAGGACAAGTTCTTCGTGAAGCTAGCATGTAAGTGTGTGTGTGTGTGTGTCTCAAGTCCTTCCGTTTGGAATTCGTATGTATAGACAGCAAGGAGGGGAAAGTAAGATGTTGGCCGATTTAGTCAAAGGCGAATGGGCATCACTCCTGTTGTTTTTGCATGTGCAGAGTCTTTAGATTCCATGTTTGGGAGTTTTAAGCATCACCTTTCGCCAATGGTGCGATGTTGAAAAGCAAATTGCATGGTTGAACGGCCCTGAGCCGCAAAAGCTTGAAATGTGTCTGCCTTGCCGAAGGCATTGCCGATAGGCATGTCGTCTTTAGGATTCTTACACAAAGTTGGCGGCGTGCCTGCAAATCAAAGTGGCACCCTCAAAAAGGACATGCCCACCACGGAAACTCTTGGACAAAAAATGCTTTTTGGGGTTGCAAAGCCTAGCTGCAGGATCCGTTCATTGCACAAAGTTGCAAAGCCTAAGCAGTTAAGATCCTTCAAGTTTGCGCACAAACTGGGTAATGCAAGGCGTAAAATGACACAACCGTCTCATCCAGCAGACTTTGGCAGCAAGTCATGTCACATTCATGAAGTGGTTCATGCGCAAACTTCTCGGAACATAGGTCTGTGGACTACATATTGGTGCCAGTCCCTTTAGAGGGTCAAGAAACTAAGCACGGAACGTCAGCTTGTTGAGCCCATGAAATCACGGGTTGGGCTTGAACCACTACAGGGTGCAACCCAACCAATGAAAGGGCAAAAGGGCACCAAGCCCCCTTTCTGACAAGCCCAGAAAGCAAAGCAGATGACGTTGAAACGTCCACGCCCAAATTTAAAGGGGTGACGCTGGTGGGTTTTTTTCGTGGACCACCACTGTGGTTGTCCACTAAAGGTTTCCCCTTGGAACCAACCAAAAGGGGCTCTGGAAAAGGGGACACCCAAATCCTGCAATGGTGTCCACCCTCCTTGAGCGGCTCAGATTTCTGCTCAAGCTTCAACCTGACTTTGGTTTGGCTGACAAGTTCACTGTAAATCAAGGCTCTGGTTTGCAGAATCTCATTGTCACAGTAAGGGAAGTCCAAACATGAAGAGTTTCACTGTTTCCCGTTGAAACCTTCCCACAAAGGGTGCCCTGAAGGTTTGACCTTGATTGTCACGTCCAGGGCACGCATCGTGTGTATGGTTCGGTGGGGCCCGGCGAAGCTGTTGGTCACACTTCTTTTTCTGTCGGCGCTTGGGCCTCGTACCTTCCACGCAGGAAAGGGCTTGGATAAAACCTGGGTAGATAGAGGTTTGTAGGAGAAGATCCCGGAACCACATGGAGAACACGCTTTCTGCCATTAAACATTTTATGGAAGCTTGTCATGTTCAATGCCAGCAAGGTGCACATTGAAGGTCAATCGTGACTCCTGTGGCCACATTGATCTCGGAAGTATTCTGAAGTGCAGCATCATCAGGTCATGCATTCCTACCCCAAAAGGCTGTCAAGCTGTTTACTTGGGTTTGCCATTGGTCATCGAAGGGTGTTTGGAGAAACATTTAAAGGATTCCTAAGAAAATTACATGGCCCAGAATATTTTGTTCATAGATCCAGAGCGACCTTTTCGTGCGCCTCGATTAAGAGCTTCACCGTAGGAGTCAGACAGCCAGACAACCACGTCGGAATTTCTCCACATGGTGGGCCCTGTTTATATAAGGGGAACCGAAAGATAACCAACGATTTTTGGGACCCCCGATTGTTAGAAACACTATTATATAGCTAGGCTCTTGAATGGAAAGGTAACTGGGGGGATAGCTGACTGTTTGCATTCTGAATCACTGAAAGCATGCAAGCAACACTAAGTTTGTCGATCATTCAAATGTGCCGATAGTTTGACAGTTTGCAGGCAAATGGTTGGACTAAGCCAACTCCAAGCAGGTGACATTTGGTTTGCTTTGCTGCTTTTCCCGAAAGCATTGAACAGATGCTGATCCCTCTTTCCTGCTCGTGCGGAATTCTGTGCTCATGCGCGCCCATTGGCAATGCCAAATTTGATGGGACTTGGTTGGGATTATGTTGCCGAAACTTACCATTTGGGTTTTTTTGGCTTGGTTACTTTCAACACTCGAATGTGGGGATGATTACCAGTTCACAACTGCACAACAAATCACCAGACTTGCAGCAAATGTGTGTTCTGCTTCTTTCAGCCGTAGGGGAATGAGTTTCTACCTCGATGGCACAAGTATTCTGGCATGGCATTTTTCGGCTTTTTCGAGAGCCGCCTTTGCCGTTTCTGCCGGCCATCTTTTGCCACGGATCCAAGTTGTGCAAGAGAAAACCGCGACTCGCTGCGCCGGTCAAACGCAGTAGTTCAGCAGAAGCGAGGGCTGGAAAAAAGAGGCACTGCGAGAGATTAGCCTGGCTTCTCTTTTGCGCCTTCCTACCACTATTTCGCTATTGAAACAGAGAAGTAGCTAGATCAGCAATGTATTTTTGGAACGAGCCCCTGTCGTGTCAGGTGCAATGTTATATAGTTGAAAGGGTAGGATGGTACACATGCAAGCTACTTGATTGCATGTTTTCCCAGCGATCAAAAGGCTTTATGCGCTGAGACGCTGCCAGCCTGTGTGAGCACTTCCGACAGGAATCTTGAGAGGGTCGCCCTGAGACCCTTGAGCGGAAAGTTTGCCGCCCCTTTTCTCGAGGGCAGCCAAAGCTAAGTTCGCCTTCCCGACCAGGGCAGGCGACGCGACAAGAAGGAAAAAGAAAAGGAGAAGGAGAAGGAGAAAGAGAAGGAGAAGGAGAAGGACAGTTCCGCTTGCCGGACTATGAATAATTTTTCAGGCACAGGGAGAAGTGAGGTTTAGAGTTTGCGGCCCAATATCGGAATGTTGCGTGACCAGGACAAAAAGTCTTGCGTTTGGCCGGAACACCATGGTGGTTCCTTTTTGGGAAGCCCCTGTTTGTTTGGTATTCACAGGGAATACAAAAGAACACCGACAATTTTGCGGGTCCCTTGATTTTGAGTCACCCCACTCGTGCCTTTAGCTTTGAGTCGGGACCCGTTTGAGGGAGTCGGTTTGCAACAATTTCCATGGGAGCTTCCTTGACGTGTCCCCGCTGTCCCTTTTTTGTTGGTTTTGAAGGACACCAACAGAACCTCAAACATTTGTTGGGGGTTCCATTTCTGTGGGCAAGACCCGATGGTGACTCTCAGGAGAGTTTTGCCCGGAACAATTTGCCCTACTTGAGTCGGTGAGAAATATGTCCCAACAGGATCACTCCGGAAAGTGAAGCTTGGGGACACTCCCAACGGCCCTTTGGATGTTTCCATGTGTGGTCAAAAGACTCCTCTGTGGGCTGATAGGATTTGGACAATGTAAAGGTTCCTTTTGACCTCATATTAATCAACCCAACCAGGATATCAATGGGCGTTCCCCTCCAAAAGTAATGATTCCCCACTAAACCCAGGGACACCCCCCTAGTAACAAACTGGGGTTGATCATTATGGGGTCAACATTACTCCCGAGTCCCAGGACTTCTTCTTTTGGGGGGACCACTGTTTAGTACATCGAAAGTTTGGAGTTGTTTGGGCCTTTCCACTCGGGAAGTGAGCATCAAGGGGACCATGACGATGACCCAAATGAGGAGTTTTGACCTTAACGCACACACAGTTTTGTGTCACATGAAGCCAAGCCCAGCAAACGGGCAGACTCAATGCTTCCTATTAGTCTTCTGAACCAACACGCCGTGTTCGACCACCCGACATCATTAGGAGCAACAGTACTATTAGGAGCAAATTCCCTGTTTGGAAAACCACATCCGAGTCTTGTCGTATTTTCACAAAACAGAAAGGCGAAACCGATTTTCAAGAGAGGCATATTTCCCCAAAAACGACACTCAGAGCGTTGGTTTTCGATTTGCAAAGGATCCCACCATTTTTCCCGAAGGATCAACACACCAGGATTGGGTGTTTCTTTTTGTTGCTTTTGAACAAGCAGGCTGGTCACGGTCGGCTTGCAGAGGGGACCAAATCCTCTTTGTGTTGGTCATGTCGGACCGGAATGGCCCTGCCTGGGACTGGATTTCAAGGGACCCCCTCTTTGGGGGATTCCCTTTCTGAACCCAAAATAGTCGAAGACATGCCCGGGTGCCCTTAAATGTATGGGGCCGTTTGATTGAGGCAGTACCTCGTCCGAGTCTTATAAGCTAGGTCTTCCAGTAGTGCCCTTTTACTCTTTTTGGCTGGAGGGCTCCCCTACTAAAATAGACTGCAGAAAAAGACATCGGGTACCCTTATTCTAACCTCTCTACTGGAGGATCTAGTGTATTTTTCTGGCGTCCGAGTCTTATAGCGGTTCCTGCAGATGTCCTTTGGACGAAATTCCCCTCCCCCTGAAGACTTGGAAGGAGCGGCGCCGGCGCAAGTCCAGCAGCTCCGAGCAGGCGGGCAATGATTTAACGGCCGGGGAAATCGGGGGCTTAAAGTGGACCCCAGACAACTTGGTGGCTCCCAGCCATCCGGTTCCTTAGCTTTGTAGCCTCGTGGTTAGTGGTAGTTTCCATTTAACCCACCCAAGGTTAAACTTTTAGCGGGGGATCTGAGGGCAGCCCAGATGAATTAACCCAAGTCTTCTCAAGTGGTAGGTTAAAAGAGGAACTATCCCAATTGCTGGATCATCTTATGTTGACCCCATATTGATCAACCAACCAGTTTATTAGTAGGGGGGTGAGGGCTCCTCCAAAAGTGGTCTGATTCCCCACGTTTCCCCCAGGGAACACTCCCTTATTAATAAATTGGGGTTGATTCATAAGGGGTCAACATTAGTGGATGTCAAAGCGAGCCACGTGGCCTTGATTTCGTGATGTCATTTTCATGACGACCATTGTGGGAGACCATGTCAGCTCCAACATGAAAACCCTCGGTCCACGTCCTCACCTTGAGACCATGTCGGGATTCATGCGTTGACCGTGGATGCATATTAGTTTGTTGGCGGAGTTGTGGAGGGACCCATGTTTCATGTTGTTTCATGACGCAACATGTAAACAAGTACTAGTTTCCCATCCACAAAGCGCGTCGAAACTCATTGAGCCCCTCATTCGTGAAGTTGTTCCACGCAGGCCTCCATTCAAGATAGGTGAAGATAGCCTGTGCATTGATCCTTCTGCCTGGCATTCTGTCTGAGTCAGCAAGCTGGGGAATTGACCAATTGAACAGGCTCATGCCTGAAACTGGAGCTTCCGTGCAAGCTTGATGCTTGAAGACACGACACACAGTCTCAAAGTCATTCAAGGGGTCCATGCGTCATGCAAAGAAACTGGCCACTAAATTAGTGCATCAGCTTATGGACGTTGAGGAGGGTATGAAAATAGGGCTACCCTCTTTGATCATTTGGCTGGGGGTCAAACATATGTCACCCAAACTGGAGCCCTGGTAAGTGGCAACATGGACCAAAACCTGCGGTCCAATATCTGGTGGTTTAATTTGACCCATACCCATATTCTAGTTTACAAACAGGGAAGAACAGGCATAAAGAACCGTTTGTTGATACCAGCAGGGATTGACTACCCCCACTCATTCATTCGATCAGTTCCCTTTTTTCACCAGCCCAGATTCCCTTTGTTGGCAGCCCGCCCTTTCTCTCCGCCTCAGGTAGCAGCCCGCGCGTGCGGAGACCCGTTTCGAGAGAGAGAGCGGGGGGGGCATCCGCTTGTTGCTTTTTTCAAGGGAAATAGGCCATGGTCCTTGCAGATCCAAGTCTTATTTCGGGTTTTTGAACTGTTCAGCTTGTATATTTGGGGTCGGCTACTCAAAATGGTGGACCCCTTGGAAATCAAAGGGAAACCAACGGAAACCAACCGCCTGGAGTTGGTCCCTAATTGTCAGAAACGCCCATATAGGTGTCCTTTGGTTGTTGTGGTAGAAAATAGAAGGCGATTCCCTTTTTTGACCAGGTTGTTTCACAATCTAGGGCCATCGATTTTCGAAAAAAGAGGACACCTATGTTTGCAGATGTCCTTTTGGCGTTGTTTTTCTGGCCCAAAGGGAAACAGCAGGTTTGGATAAGAGCGACCAGGGAAACGGCTGCGTTTGGAAAGAACGATTGACAACATGGGGAGTGAATCCAAAGATGCTTGCAAGCACCATCGCCAAATCTTTGGGACTTGTCAAATGGAGGGAGGCATACCTCCAATCCTCCAATCCTTTGGAAGTTCAGACGGGTGGATTTCGGGTTTAGTATAGGTTTAGAGTGGGTTTAGCGTAGGTTTAGGGTGGGATCATGATTACTGTTGGGCTCCGTTTGGGGGGAGGTTCCTTCAGATTGCAGCCATGCACCCTCCCTCGCAGAAGAGTTCTCTAAATCAACCTGTCAAAAGGATCAGGTGGCTTCTGTTTCCAGGGGAACAACACCAGGCAAGCTCCTTACATCCCTAAGAATCTCGGTACCTCAAAAAGGTGTTTTGTTGAGGTCCCAAACCTTCCAATGGATATCGCGTCTTCTCCGATGGAAAGTCCAAAGACGTTGACAGGGAGGGCTGAATAATTGAGACACATGTTTCCGTGATGGTCACACCATTCCGATTAGAACCCAGGTTTGCCCCTGATTAGTAACCCCCCCCTCCCCCCCAGCTATTGATCAGGGCTCCCGGTCCTCCTGGAACAAAGGAACCACAGAGAAACTTGCTGGTTCTCAGCAGGGAATGAGAAATGGAATGCCCCCCACAAACCAAATCCGTTGTGGATTCCCTAGGTACATGCCCAACACCCTGAGTCATTTTCTACTGAGCACCAGCAAGGAAGGGACCCCCGGTTCGCACCAAAGCCGCTGGGGCCGCTAGGTTCGAACCCACGGCGTTTCTTCAGTCCATCGAATTCTCTGAAAAACGCTTCGGTCAGTTTCATAGGACACTCTAAGTGTCCGAATCATGGGGTCACCTTTGAACCAACTTGCCTCACCAGTGGATCCCAGTTCCCATAGTAGGTCATTCTCCAGTGTCCATTTAATTTGGTTTTGTTTATATTGTTTGTGGCTTATAGTAGCGCCCCTTAAACAACTCCATTGGACAGTAGTTGGGTTCCACTGTTGCATAGGGCGTGGCCTCTAGGCCTAAGCCCTGTGAAACCATGAAACGGAACCGAACCCATTTGAAGCCATCACCAACAAATGGTTCTTTATGCCTGCTCTTCCCTGTTTGTAAACTAGAATATGGGTATGGGTCAAAATTAAACCACCAGGAATTGGACCGCAGGTTGTCCATGTTTTCACTTCCCAGGGCAGGCCAGTGTTGGGTTTGCCCATTTTTGGACAACCACCGCCACATCTTCCTTTTCCCCCATATTTTTTTTGTCTTGCTAGTGCTCAGCAGGGAATGAGAAATGGAATGACCCTTATAAACCATCCAACCGTTGGTGTCCTTCCCTGGGTTCATTCCCAGATTCCCTACCTGTCGCAGCATTTTTCCCCTGGTTTCGGCTCATCGATCACATGGATTCTCGTTTTCCGGGCGTATCAGGTCTCCGAGCTACGAGGCCCAGAAGGCGTGGCGAAAGACCGGCTTTTCGACTGGGGCGTGCCGGACTTTTTTAGAACAAAACCGGTGGGGTAGGGGAAAAGGCCGATTGTTTGTCACATGCTGAGATAGAAAGTAGATAAGAGGGGTTCCTTCAAAAGAAGTCAGAAGGGCATTGGGTGATGTGCAGATGAATTTGTTCCAGACCGGATGGACCCCAAAGGCCAGCGAAAGGTTGGACTACTCGCTCCTGCTCGTCTAGAGACCCTGAAAGGAAGCCACACCACTTGAGAGGGTTTGGAAAGGAAGGTGCAAGGAAGGCGCCAAGACATGTTTGGGGGTCTTCAGGAAACCAAAGTTACACTCCTTCCAACTTGGCCACAAATCAGAGAAAAAGACAAGTACTCTTTGATCGAAAGCTTGGATAGGAGATCAATTCCCAACCATTTTCAACGCTGACGATGGGTCGTCCTCTCGGTGTTCTTGCTCGCAAGAGAAGCTTCCGCTTTAAAAGCTTGAATCCAAGCTATTCCTGCTTACGGCCTCGCGGCGGGGGGCCGGGTGTCTTGGGCCACCATCTTCCGGCGAGGTGAAGCGGTCACCATCTCCCTCAAAAGCCGAAGAGGAAGCGAAGCAAAAGAAGCTTGCCCGGTCCTCAGGTCCAACAGAGTCTTTTTTTTGGCTTGCTGTACAGGGAAGCCAAAGGGAAACCAAGCATGTTGGGGGGCCCCGATGTTCAGACACACACACCATGTTTCCCCTTTCAGCCAATTCAAGCCTTGCTAGTGGTGCTAAGGGAGAACCCTCTCCCGGTGATGTTGGGAGCAAAGCAGCAGTCGTGTCCCTCGCATCGTTTCCGTCCGAAACCTGTTGCAGGCTGTGCAGGCGTTTGTTCTTGCGTAGCGTTTGGCATCCAACGGGCACCTAAAGAAGCGTCACCATGTTTCCCAGACGAACCTCGACAGGATGCAGACAGCCGCATGTGCTAAATGCCATGGATATCAGCTAGTAATTGCAAGCATCAAGTCAGTAGTTTTTAAGTCACAAACAACCCTCGTCTGCCATTTTGTTCAGCAAGCATGCGCACATGATGGTGCTGTGATGAATGAGATGATTGATTCAACATCTGCTCGTTGCCCAAGAAACCGACAACGATAATATGGGTCCGCTGAAGCGACATCATTTCAAATCCCCCCGAAGCAATTATTCGCACACACAAACACGCAAACAGAGCGCATCAGCTCAATGCACACATTAACACATGCTCATGAGATACACGACCAACACGCCATGCCAAGTAGACTCGGTTCCGTCCTTCACCCGAGGCAGAAGAGAAAGCAGCCGCAGAAGCGGTGCCTTGGTCGGAAGAACTCACTTGAGGGGTGTTTTGATACCTGGGTTTGTTGTGGTTTCAAATGGAAACGAGAAGGACAACCAACACTAAATATGTTCTTGTTCCAGGACCTCCCAAGGGCTGTTTTGGGGTTATTTGCCAGCCATTGAGGGGTCCTGATTGTTATTGTTGTTTTGTTTTGGGGGGGTCATCAGTTTGATGTATAAGTGCGTCAAACACATGGATTTGTATTGAAATAGGAGATGCCCCAAAATGGGCCCAAGGGTGTTCCCTTGGTTTTCCTTTGAACCCCCTTTCCACGGGTGCCAACGGGAGCCACACCCAATATATGCAATACATGATTTGGTTTGGTGAGGAAGCCAATCCCACTGTGTCCTGCAGATACTTTCTGTGGAAATCTCAAGCCGACTTTTAAATCATGACATGAGGTGTGTATCATGATTAAGAATGTTGGCAACAGTTTCCAGCTGTGGGGTATGCTCCACAATTACATATGTTTTAGGTTGGCTAAATGATTGAAACATGATCTGCCAGGACGCCCCCAATGGCTGGCAAATGGTCTGTGGAATGACCTCCCAAGGGCTGTGTTGGGGTTATTTGCCAACCATTGGGGGGTCCTGGCAATTACTTATGTGTTAGGTTGGCTAAATTATGAAGCATGATCTGAACTTGTTCAATCTGTTTAGCGCACCCTGGAGTTGGACCTAAATCACGTTGCCTCCCGAGGCCGAAAAGGCCAAGCGAGAGGCGAGCTTTGCCTCTTTCTTTCTTTTTTTTGGGGGGGTGGGGCCGGTGAAATAAATCAGGAGTTTGGAGGGCTGACTCCACATGGGTGTAACGGGAAGCCAAAATGAACGCCCACCATTTTGGGGGTCCCCAAAAAACAGACATCCAATTTTGTTCCCTGGAAACAACATGGAAGTACAGCTGGTGTCTTTGTCTCATCCCAGAAGGCGCGTTTCGGCAATGGATGCATTCAATCATTTCACAGGCGTTTTCTCGTTTTTTTGTTGCCGAAGGGGGTCTATTCGGCTGTACCCTCCCTTCTCAGGATGTATGGATTCCCAAAAAGACCACAGGTTGTTTGAGGTACGGACACGCCACATTGAAAGCCACAGTCTTTGGTTCCGCTTCCCCTTTGAGAGCCTCAAACCCAAGCGGGTGTTTGATTTTGAGGGCTCCCTTTTCTCCATGTTCAAGCTTACCCAAGGGAAGAGGAACCGCTGTGTGCCAGTGCCAACCTGACGGAGGGTGTAGACACGGGCCAACGCCGAGGTGAGTCAAAAGCCAGATCGTACCCCCGGTGAACATCCCAATTCCCACCAAAATAGGTTCTAAAATGGGTGGTGAATTCACCTACACCAAAATGGGATCCCATTGGTTGTGACACCCACAGCCGCATTCCCATCAGCTCGCTCCGGTAGAACTTGGGTCCAGGCGAAGGCAGCCAAGGAGGCGAAGGCGAAGGAGAAAGCAGCGAAGGAGGCATCAAAAATTGACCAACCCGTCAGTTGTGTATACTTAATAAGGGCTGTTGTTTCAAGCTGTGGGGTATGCTCCCCAATTACTTATGTTTTAGGTTGGCTAAATGATTGTCTCATGATCTGAACCAGGACCCCCCAATGGCTGGAGCCATTGGGGGGTCCTGGTACTCAATATGGGCCGTTGGTTCCCTAACCTGATGTTTCTCATGTTTTTCTCGTGGGCCCCTCGCCCCTCGCGTGACCATTGCTTGCTTTTCGATGTTGAGTGGTTTTGCCCTTAATGGAACGGGTATTGGGTTTTACATCATGGATTTGGACCCGTTTATATACTGTTGACTGGGGTGCGTGATAGTAGTTCTCCCCAGGTTGGGCATGTCGGAATCCACTTCAACCCCTTTCAGGCCCGTTTTAAATTCCAACTGACTCTTTTTGTAGTAGACATCTAGCCGTACCAAGGATTGCGGAACCTGGTGGAGGACACCCAAATCAGGTCGAATGGAAGCCGGAATGCGGGCAGGTCAAAGTTGCAGAATCTACTTGCAGAATGCTTCAAGGGACGACCAAGGGTGTTCGAACTGGGCATCTTGGTTCCCCCTCAAGACTTGCATGAGCTCCTTAGATTCCTCAGTTTGATTTAAACCTCACATTGGCCATCTTCAGCCTTTTTTCCCTTTTTGGATACTTAGGAAGCCCGTGGCCACCAACCATCTGGCCAGGCTGGCCAATACCCGCTCCCACTTCCGGCTTTCGGGTTTCGGCCGTGTGCGCCAGGCCAAGGAGAAAGAGGCGAAAGAGGCCAAAGCCAAGGAAACCCAAGAGGTCGCTTCGCTCTTCGCCTCGCTCGCCCGTCCGGTCCGGGAGAAGCTTGGCTTTTTTTTTCCACTGGCAGAGTCTCTTTTTGGGTTGGGCAACTGATTGACCGTCACTTTTGGGGGGACTTTCAGTTTTGGGAAGGAATTAAAGATCAGGTCGAAATGAGCATGTCGAAATGTTCCAGTTGAGTCTCTTTTTCTGGCTGTTGCTCCAAATAGGTAGGGAATGACCGAGTCCGGATCTTTGGAATGAAGGGAATGAACCGGTTTTTGGGGGTTCCCGAAGAAAGGAATTCACAGGATGGATTGTTGATAGGGGTCATTCCATTTCTCATTCCCTGCTGAGCACCAGCAAGTTTGGGTTGGCCAACTGATTTTCATTTTTTTGGGAGGAATTAAACATCAAATCGAAATGAGCGTTTGAGGAAAGTCACCTCTGAAGTCCCCTTGGAGACGAAGAAAGATGCAGGGGACAAGACTTGGGGAGTTCTCCACGAGTTTGGCGAGCTGTGACCTGAATTGGCCGCTCAAAGCCAAGAAAGGACATCACCTCTTTCGGTTTGGAAAAGCCCACCGATTGTGGGTTCAGAAACTGTGGGCTTTCCCCGACACCCGCAAGCAGCGGGCTTGCGGGTCAAAGTCCAACGTACAAATCACGGGATTGCCTCATGCTGGAACCAAATGGGGAGTGGTGTTTTTGCTTGGATTCCTCGAACGCAACGAGAGGGAACCTTCCAAAAAGCACCTTCGGCGCACCCAGCTGACCTATGATTCACAGCCTATGGATTGAAGTTGGTGCACTCCACTGAGTTTTTTCCCGTGAGATCGCGCTAGAATTCACTTCAGTGTATCCCTTTACCCCCCGCTGTCTTACTTCCCCTTTCCAGTGGGTTTGGAATTCTCCCAGCCCAATTCCCCAATAAGCCAGTGAGGCCGATGCACATTTTTCTTAGCATCTTTCGGAAGCAAAGGTTCATAGGTCTTGCACCCTGACTCACATTTGCTTTCCCATTGACGCGATTTTACGGCATTCTTGGGCCTGGCCTGGACCCTCAAACTGGCCATAAAAAGGAAATTCACAACATGATTTAGGGAACCCAGTTTTAAGGGGATTTTGAGGGTTCAAGTTGTTTGTTTCTTCATCTGCGGCCAAATGCAAGCTTGCCCAGAGGCCTAGGGGGCGAACAAGAAGCATCCTCCTTGGTTCTGGGCGGATGCGATCCACCCGCGGAAAAACAACACATATTTTAAAACACACACACACACACACACGTAGATAAAACGGAAAAAAATAAACGAGCTGGCGATGAAGTGGGGTTATTTGCCAAGTTGATTTGCTGTGACTCCAGCCCTTCCTTTGAGACTGCGGGAATAATGGACCCACTGATTGGATTCGGGCATGAGTTGCAGGATTCATGCTCAGATGATTTCCTGACCAAGAACTAGCAACGTCTTCTGCCTGAGGCAGCTGCGAAGGAGGCCAAGAAAGAAGCAGAGAAGGAGGCCAAGAAAGAAGCAGAGAAGGAAGCCCAGGAGGCCAAGGAAGCGCAAGAGGCTAAGGAGGCTCAGGATGCTAAGGATGCCAAGGATGCCAAGGATGCCAAGGATGCCAGGGAGACCAAGAAGGAAGCAGCAGCCTCAGCACCAGGCTTCATGGTAAGATTTGCCATTGGTTGCAACATGTGTGTTTGTGGACTGCATCAAACAGATGCCTCAGAGTCTTGTTTGAAGAGCGCAATGGCAGGGTTGGGCCGGTTGAGTGCAGGGGCGTCGGGGAATCATATGATGTTGATGATTGATCCGAGATCTCATGTAGGCAGGCGATGAAATATTCCTTTTGCCTGAATATGAGACAGACACGTTGGAAAATGAGGTTCAGCCTCTCAGAACAAACAATTTGAGCTATGGGGGCCAACATGTCACTTGAGAGGAATATGTGTTTTGTTCCGAACTGAGATCGAAACTCAGGCTTTCTGTGGTCCCTCGGCCAGCACATCATGTTATGCGAACGAACCCTTCTGACATGAGAATCAAACACGTACTTGATGCATACGCGCAACTTGTGAGATTGTTGTTTTTTCCCGACACTAAGTTGAGGCCCAATATTTGTTTGTTCAATACAATTTGTGGCGGGTGTGTTTTTTCGGGGACAGCCCCGCCACGACCTCTCAAGTCGAAATTAATTGCAAGTAGGGGAGAGTGCTTGTCAGAGACTGCCCCCGCCCCCCCGCGAAGCCTGGACAAAAGGGCAATATAATGGCATAGAATAATACACACAAATGCAAACACAAGCAAACAAATTCCCGCAAACCACCATTGAGTATGTTCAACCCGGGCTGAGGGTGCCTCAGTTCCTGAAGAGGGTCAACCAAATGCAGCTAACGGAGGGCCGAGGGAGGAGTCAACATCTGAAGTGCATGCAGGGACTCCCCTCAATTCATGTCCTTGGCATTGTCTTCGCACATCCTGGGTTGCCCTGGTTTCCCAGGATTCAGGTGTTTGCCTGAATGTCGGATTGAACTGGCAAGGGGGCCTCTCTCTTTTTTTTCCGGAAAAGGTCTCTTGGAGGTCCATGGGTTTTGTTCATTTCGCTGGACTTGATTCCATGGGCCAAAGGCCTTGAAGCTCAAGCCCTGGGTGGTTTGGACTTTCTACTTTTTGGGACCAGCTCCCTTCAGAGACCTGTGCAGGGGAACATGGGTCAGCCTCATTTTGAGGAAACATGTTGAACAAGATCCGAGGGAAACCCATTTCGAGGGGTTCCGTTTTTGACCTAAAGCCATGTGGTTCTTTCGTCTATGCTTGAAGGGAGATGGCAGACCAAAAAATAACTGCCCGCAGCCAGAGCACTCAACGGCTCACCCAGCGCGCGTACATAGTATCTACCCAACAATGGCGTTGGTTTTGCGTGGTCTTGAGACCCTTGCCTCCCTAGTGCCTCGATCAATTTGATTGGCGACACGAGGCAGAAGAGCGAGAGGCGCATGGATCGGGGCGACACATTGATGTCTTAAATGGCCCAGACCTGGTCTTTCCTCCTTTTCCTGAAGCCGTTCCCTTAAATATTCCAGCCAAACAAAAGGGAACCATTCCTCTGGTCACTGGAGGTCTGCAATGCGTCTGGTTTGGTTTGAGGACACCCCTTTTGGGATGCTGTTGAAGGGGAACAAGGACCGCTTCCTTGAGTTGGCCATGGGGACTATTATGGTTGAAGCATAAGGCCAGGCCTGCATAACCATTTTAGAACCACACGTCAAGGTGAGCACCGCTCAAAACACTTCTGCTCGTGCTAAGCCAAAGGAGCACCAAACATGTTGTGGGTTGAAAAACGCAACAATAATTAATAGCAATACTAAATATACTAGTAATAAACATGATATTTTTTGGTGTTGAGCCTTGCCAGGCCCCCTGTTCAGCACCTAGTCTTCATGTTCGAGAGAGGATGTGCAATAGTGAAGCGCAAAGCAAGCTAAACGCGCGGGCGCTCTTACGCGTGCGTATGGTGAGCGCTGAACTGACATGATCCTTGGGCCTGGCAGCAAAAGTTGTGACATGCAAAGCGCAACTTGGACGTGCAACCATGTTCTCTGGGAACCCGGTTCTGGGAGCGCCGGGCGAGCCAAATGGTAAGCGAAGGGGGATGTTGCACATGTTGAAAAGATGGTTTGCTCGGCTCTGGGTTTGCAGTGATCCTTTCGACTTGCCCGCAAGTCGATCACAAGTCAACGTAGTCAATCTGGGCGAATAAAGACGAGGCTGCAACCTCCTAAATGAAGGTTCCGCTTTTGGAGACTTGCTTCGAATGCATGGGTTGTATCTATGTCCGAGAGCTGAACGAGTTGAGAAGACAAATTGTCGTGTTGTGCAGCTTGAGGGGAAGCAGGCACATGGCCATGGGACAAAAGCCCAATCCCCACTAAAATAGACTAAAATGGGTGGTGCACCTACCCCAAAATGGTAGCATTGGTTTTGACCCACAGCCATATTATCAGACTTTCAATCATCAGGCCTGTTTGTGTTTGTGGAACACGGCAATGCACATACCTCAAGATCCTTCTCATGGTCTGACCAGCAACTGTTTCCCCTTGGCCATTTTAGTAGATGGTTTTGCCAACTGGGGCAATTGGGAGCTTTAGTAAAGCCTATATAAGCCTTAACAAGCACTTTGGTAGAGCCAAACATTCAATGGGTTTTGGGCACTCATGTGAGTTGGATGATGGCCTCGCGCACTTCTGACCTCATGATTCCATCAATGATTGAATCCTGCACATATAGTGTGTGTGTGTGTGTCCTTCCTTTCTGTGTTTCGTTCACGTGTTGTTCTATCATAAGCGAATCGGCCGAATGGCCGTTTGGCTCAAGATTTGGTTCCCCCGTCGGGATTCCCTTGGATTTGCGTGCGTTTGCCATAGTGCGGCGATTGGCTGCGCCATCGCGGAAAAGGTCCGTGGTGTTCCTGCTGATCGGCACTAGGAGGTGGGCGGCAGGTCGCCGAGGTGCTCCCGGGCCCGATCCCTATCTTTACCGATCTTCATTAACTGTCACTCCCACAATCTGGTCACCGGCACCTTCTACATTGTGCTTTGGGACTGGGTTCTTTTGGTACTTTGTGAACCACGTGTACCTCTTTGATTCCCTGGGCTACTTCGTGTTCGCCCAAAACCGCAGGTTATCAGCCGTACCAGCTAGAAGCTGGGGCTGGTGATCCGGTTGCGGGACGTGACCCGCTACCTGCTCCTTCGCCTACTTGTACTACAATGGCGTCCCCTGGAGCTTCACATCGTGGGCCAGGCTTCGTGGACGACGAGGCCAACGCCCTTCGCGGCAACGCCGCGCATGCTGCCCCCGGCTTAGACAGCCGGCTGTGGCCCCTTCCCCCGATGGTGGGCGCAGAGCCCAATCCCGGGGTGATCACGGACGATTGGATCCTTTCTCAGGTCGTGTTTGATGAGGATGCGGAGGCCCCTATCCCGGCGGCAGTGCTCCAGATCGAGGACGGACCCCCTCTAGAAGAGGCTGTGGTTCCTCCAAATCAGGTGCCCTCATCGATTTCGCCTACTGTTCCATTCGTGGCGCTCCAGATCGAAGACCAGGCTGCCCATCCTGCTGCTCATCCGGAGCCGGTTCAATCTTGGTCCCTTACATGGGATCAGTTTGACCAGCTCCTCGGGAGTGGATCGCAGGCCACGCCGCCTGATTTCGGTCGACTTGACTTCGATTCGGGTGTCCCCATCTCGGTTGGGAATCTGGATTTTCAATCCCTTTTTGATGCTGATTGGAGATCTCAACCTTCCCGAATTGACAGATCTTTCGACGCCCTGCCTACGCATGAGCCTATTCAGGGTTTTCCCCGTGGTGGAGAAAATGACCCCATTGAAGATTTCTCCCCTTCTCAAGTTGCAGGTTCGGCCCAACCCGAGGCGGGCGAACGGGCGATTGAGGATTGGCCGCAAATAGCTGGCCTTCCTCCTGTCTCAGGTTCATCTGATGTTGACATCATTCACGATCACCTCAGTCCGGCGGATATGGACTTCATCCCTGATGCAGTATCATCTCACTTGCCAGGTACCCGCGACCGGGATGCGGACCGCTACAACGCTGGTCCAAATCCACCGCTCTCCTCAGGTACTCAAGATCGGGACGCGAACCGCTATAACGCGGGCTCAAATCCGCCAAATCAAGCATCAGGTACTCATCGATCGGACACGGGCCGCGAAACAGCAGGCCCAAATCCTTCCTCCACTTCGTCGAGAAGCCATGCCGGTCTCTTCGCGGCCTTCAATCGGCATCGGACTCGGAAAGAGTCCGCGCCCGACGTCATCGACCTCAAAGAGCAGTCCAGCCACCGTACCAGCGATGGATCCGAGCAGGATGCACCTGGTATTGGGTCTACTCCCTTCGACCTTCTCGACATCCCCTTCCATCACCCACCCAGCAAAGGAAATGAAGATGATGAAACCATCCCTGGGATCCTCGATGTAATCGATGAGGCCGAGGTCACACCAGAGAGACGAACGACATCGCTCCCGCCGAGCCGCGTTGCCAAAGTACTTTCCCCCAAGCCATTCAATGATGACGTTGCTCAACGGCTTGATCTCACTCAACCTGACCCAGATCAAGCTCAACATCGTGGGTCGTCATCGTTCGATAATGTGTCGGGACAAACCGGCACTGACTCGCGAGCCACAAAGAGAAGCTCTGAGCGCCCGAAAGACGTGAAGCTGCCCTCCGATTGCGATCTAATCCCCCCGCTCATCACGACCCTGTTGACGTTCCTATCCACTCCGCGGGATCTGGGCTCAGCTCCAATGCACCGATGTCTGAGAAGGAAACTGATGACGGGATCAACTCTACGCCCAGGAACCGGAGACCTGGACTTGGCACCGTTGCCCCTGGAAACGGGGGGCTTCCATCAAATCAACCGGTCAACAACTCCATCATCCCTACATTCTTTCAAATTGGAACTCCGGGCTGCACTCCCGACAGGAATGAGGATAGGCGTGGAGCTTATGACGCTGATAGTCGTCCTGCCCCGTCTGCATCCACAAGTGACGGCCATCCGGTTGCATCTGAGCTTCAGCGACTGCTTCTCGCGATTCGGATGCAAGGCCGAAATCCAGGGGTGCAGAACTGAGATTCGTTCATGCAGGGATGATATCAACGTTTGCGTCGGTGAAATCAAGAAGATCAATAACCGTGTTGACACTTTCGAGAAGAAGGTTGAATCATCCTTCTCTGCCGTCGCCGGAACGCTCTCAAAACACGAGGCCAAGTTCCGTGATTTCCACGAGTGGGTCACCCGAAGCGAGAAGGAGATGAATGAGCGCCTCAAGATGTATGATGAGAGGTCCAACTCGGTCATCATATCTGCTGCTGAACTTCGCGAGCAGGCCGAGTCACTTGAGAACGTCAAGGTCCAGCTCCTCAGGTTCTCCGAGATCGGGGCCCTCGAGGCTGAAGTTCGAAGAATCAAGGACGAAGTTGAGGCGAACTCTCGCAGTGTCATTGACGTTGAGGGGACCATCTCAAGGGAAAGAACCATCCGTGGGAACGTCGAGACGTACATCCAGCACCTTGTTCCTGCGACCGACCTGAAGCAGTTCAGTGATAGGATGTCCGGAGCCCTCAACGAGAACTCACGGAAACAGGAAGAGTTCAAGCTCCAATTGTCCCGGATGTGTCAAGGACCTTCATGATAAAAGCCTAGGCTTCTATCCGAGAGACATGCAAGAGCAGTTTATGAAACTTGTGTTGAGGGTCAATGAGATCAACATGCAGATCGCTGAATTGAGGGAACCACCTCCTGCTGTCTGCGCATCTTCAAGTGCTGGCGCTGTTTCGGTCGCCGGGACGGTGCCCTGGGAGAAATCTGGGGACACGGATCCCTTAACCCAGGGAAAAGCTCCTAGAGGTTCTCCTCCTCGCGATGCTCGCGTCGTCAGCTCGGCGAGACCTCCTCCACCTCCTCCTCCTACAGGGCCACCTCCACCGTCACCATCAGCCCCCATCTTTGGCAGGGATCCCTCTAGAATGAGGGCCGTTGCTCGGGCTGCCGGCGCTGCCCCTGATAACCGGGCCAGATGCGCTCATGAGGAGCCTGGGCATCCACAGCATCGGGAACCTCGCTATCCATGCCGAAGCTGCGGCAAGTCAGTCTGTGAAGACTGCTTTGATCATGATTGTAACTCATGTTTCAAATGTAGCCATCAGTTTCCCAGATGCCGCGCATGCAGAGGAAGAGGAGGGAGACACGGGCTTGTGACGTGTCTCATATGCAAGGATGAGTACTGCGATCAACACATCGCTTCACCCGACGATGTGCGCCGTTTTGGGTCAGATGTTCGACCTATTTGCCTCGGGGAAAACCAAGCATCGTGGTCCCAGTGCGGGGCCTGGAGGACCTGGTAACATTCCTGACCATAATCAGCGGGATGGCCCTGCTCCTGATCCTGGGTCCGGGCCATCACGTGGAGATCCGTC